ATTTTTTAGGTGGGCCCCGAGTGTCGATTTACTCGGGTCAAAGTGGTAACGCGTTCTATGAAATAAAGAATAAATATTTTAACACAAAAAAAGTGCTTTTAATAATATATATATATATATATATATAATTGTACAACATGGTATTGGTTGTCACTTCTAATAGAGGATCACATCAATTTATGAATTTGTATAAAATCTCAAACTCTCTGTTCTCATAGATATTTGGGTTAACTTTTTGACTTTTTATGAAAAAATGTGTAATAAAAAATTATAAAAATTGGTTTGTAGGAGAAAATTAGGATTAAGAGTTGTGCAGCCGTAATTGTTGACTTTTGGTAAATAGTGTTAACTTTTTAATTTTTTGAATAACTTTTTGATTTTTTGACTTTTCCTGGACATGCCAAACTTGGCCTAAATGTGGATACCGAAATAATTAAATGTGTGAAAACGCCGCCGCCGTCCGTCCGGTCGATCGGGCGGGCTGGGCTTGGGCGCGGGTGCGTGGTGTGTGGTGTGTGGTTGGGCTTCTAATCTTTTTGGAATTAGTGCACACCCAAACAGGGCCCTTCCCGGTTTCAAACAGAAATAAACTGTTTTGGAATTAATGCACACCCAAACAGAGCCCTTCCCGTTTTGCTATCTGTTTGAATTCAAATCCAACAGGTATCATACCTGTTCAATTCAAAACCAAGAGTTACATACCTGTTTAATTCAAAATGAAGAGCCACCTTCACATCTATAAATAGGACCACCCTCATTTGATGTTTTGATTTCAGAAATTTCGTATTTCACTTCTGTTTTCTATTCTTCATCTTGCTGCATTTTATTTTCTAAAGAAAGAGTGTAAACACTTAGTGTGTTCGTAAGGCAAACAATTAGTAGTGCTGCTATTGTTTGTGGAAGATCATTTCATCCTGGGAGATAGACGTCCGAATTCTGAAAGCACCGTGGAGAGGACGAATCTGTCTTAAGGAGACAGTGTTAAACACTGGACTTGATCAGAAAAAATAATTCGAAGAAATTAAATCAAGTAAGTTATTTAATTACTTTCAGTGTTGTTTTTATTTGTTTATTTATTCAGATTTTAATTTTGTTTTTGTAACAAAATAAAATCTGTTTTGTTTTTATTTATTTATTTTTTATTTCGAGTTTGATTTTTGTAATCAAACATATACTCTCCTTTTCTCTATTTCTTTTATTCTTGTTGTTGTTTTGTACACAACAGAATTAAATCTTTTAAATACAGTGAAGATTGTCCAACAGACACACACTAGGATTCAGTTTTTTTTTTTTTTTCTTTTTTTTCAGTAAAAAAGTCGACACTGAGATTTTTTTATTTATTTTTAGATATATACATATAATATTGTGGGTGTTGGTGGATGTCCATTATGATTATTTTAATTTAAAATATAATTATCATCAAAATAATATTTTATTACAGGGTTGTTTGGGGTGTCCTAAATCAGTGCACTTTTTGTCTTTTGGACTAAAAAATTGAGGAAGAAAATATAGATATTTGGGTTAACTTTTTGACTTTTTATGAAAAAATGTGTAATAAAAAATTATAAAAATTGGTTTGTAGGAGAAAATTAGGATTAAGAGTTGTGCAGCCGTAATTGTTGACTTTTGGTAAATAGTGTTAACTTTTTAATTTTTTGAATAACTTTTTGATTTTTTGACTTTTCCTGGACATGCCAAACTTGGCCTAAATGTGGATACCGAAATAATTAAATGTGTGAAAATAAAAAATTTAAAAAAATTTAAAGATACAATAAAAAAAAAACCCCAAAATTCAGATCTAACCCTCCAGTGCTTACCAAATTCGTTAAAAATGGCGGCTTTAATACTACCAAATTTGGGTCGTGCTAGGGAGCTCGAATCTGAGCTCCCCCGAATGCCCCGAATTCCTTTTTTTTCCATTTTTTTTTTTTTTTTCAGCAAAAGGAAAATGTTATTGATGTTATAAAGAGTAGAACATAATTACATCAAAAGAGGAAGCTAAGGTAAAATAGCATAAGCGCTTAGCGAATGCCGACTAAATTGATAGAAACACTCAAGCCAAACAAATGCTAAACCAACCACCCAAAAACTAATCATCAGCCAATTTTGCAATACAGAACCAATTAACTAACAAATCCTAACACAAAAACATCACAATCACAACCAACATAACCACAAAAAAAGCCCTGATGCCCAAAACGACATCGTTTTGGGCATTAGGGGGATTAGGGGGCTCATTTTTGAGCTTTCAAGCATTATTGACCAAATTTAATGAGTAAGGTTAGGAATCTAAATAATTTATTAAATATTTTATTAATTTTTTTTATATAGGTATAAGATTTATACACATATGAATTTGTGTAAATCTTACACATATATAAAAAATTTAATAAAATATTTAAGATTCATAATATTTTTCAATTTAATACTACCTCATAGATATGGAGATATAAATGATTTTAATACTACCTCATAGATATAGAGATATAAATGATGCGATGATTTTGACTTTTTAATCACATTTGATTTTACAAAACCTAACTATCGTCAAATTCCACAAATCATGTGGTCAATACAGCCTCCGTTTGGGAAGTGGGTTGGCTTTTTAGTTTTTTGGCTTTTTTGACTATTTTAGCCTGGGCTAAAAAGCTTGGTTTGGGAAGGGCTTTTTGACTTTTTGACTTTTTTGACTTCTTTTGTGAGAGAAGAGTATAATGATTATGAGTTGAATGTGATGTTTTGTTTGTTGTGACTAAAATAGCCTATTTTATCTTTTGTGACTATTTTAGCCCCAACCTTACTTGCCAAACGGACCCACAATACCCTTTCCTCCATGTTTTGTTTAGTGCAAAATCCATACCTAAATTCTAAGTGGGCTCCACTTATAGTAGTCCACTCCATTCCATGAATGTGAAATGTATCCATTTCCCCCTTTTTTTTCTTTTTTTTTTTTTCTTTTTCTTTTTTTTTTTTTTTTTTTTTTGTTATTTTGTGTCATGAAATTTCCTGTTCCACTTCCACACTATCCACAACAAAATTAGCTGCGTGGCATGCAATCAACAGGAAACTATACAGCTCATCCTCTTATGAGGAAGGTTCATCTTGAATGTCTACACTCAAACAAATTAAGAGAAACTATTTAGGTGGTGTTTGTTTCGAGAGATTGAGAGGTATGATCGGACTATTAGTTCATTCGGATTTATAATTCGTTATTTTGTTTAAAATTTTGTATCAGATTATTAGTCCTTCCGGATTATTAGTCCCAAATTCATTGGATTATTGTGTCTTATGGGGGTTGTGGGACACAAATGGAGGGATATGAGATTAGATGATGAAATAACTATTTTGACCCTCTATTATTTAATTATGTATTATATTTAGTAAAATTCAATAAAATTTAAATGTCTCAATTTAAAAATAAAATAATTTAATTTAATTTTTATTGATGTTTTATTTTAAAATTTTGTTTATATTTTATTTAATTTCATTATTTAAATTTTAATAAATGCTTTGTTTAATTTCATTATTTAATTATTATTATTTTTTAAAATAAATTTATTTAAAATTTTAATTAAAAAATAACATATATTTTTATTGATATATTTTTATTTTATTTTTAAAAAATAAATTTATTTAATTGTGTAAAAAAATAAAATAAAATAAATTTTTATTTAATCTAGTTAAAAATAATTAAAATATTAAAGATATGTTTAATATTGCTATTACTTAGTAAATAATTGAAAGGGGTAAAATAATCAATTGAACATTTATCCTTCTCCATAATATCCCTAATAAAGATAAGATTCATATCCTATCCAACCAAATAGTCATTTCCTAGCATTTATTTCCATGACTACACAAATATAAAATACAAATCTAATCCAACCAAATAATCTAAGGATAATGTATCCCAAGACTAATAGTTTGGTGGATTCTAATCCCTCTTTATCCAATCTATCCAAATAAACACACCAGTATTACTTGCAATCCTTCACGTATTAATTATATTTTTCTCAACTCCCATTCGTATGTAATTCTCTCACGCTATGTTTGGTTGGAGGATTTGAGAAAAGATTTGGAAAGGGAAAGGAAAAAGTTAGGCGAAATGTGAATAAAATATATCTACATTTCACCTAATTTCGCACATATTTTTCCTTTCTTTTTCTAAATCTTCTCCAAATCTCCCAACCAAACACAACATCGATAAATTAAATTATAGACATATTTGGATATTAATTTTGCAGGCGACTTGATCTAATACGTATTCTTATTTACAACAGAATTCAATGTAATTCTGTAAAACTACAAACATTAATTTTGAGGTTTGAGGCCTCCTTTATCAGCATATATTTTTAGAAGAGGGTGAGATGAGATTCTCAATCATATTTTTATTAATTTAACAGATAATAATTAATCCTTATTCTTATTTATAGGCTCATGTGCATAGATTATCTATATAAAAAAAAATTATATTAATCTAATAATTATAAATACATGATTTATCAAATTTTCTCTTAAAAAAATGAAAATAACTGTTTCTTTTCAAAAGAAAATCAGATTAAATCATATAATAGTTATTATGAAATCAATTTCATTTTTCCGAATCTAAAAATTTACAAAATGAAAAATCAAAATTATAAATGTATATCCCATAAAAAAAGTTCACACAGTAACAAACGCTTATTTTGACAGCACGATTAAAAGGTAACATTTTATTTTTTTTGACTTTTTTCAATCACATTACATCTTTATTTTGTTGTACACTTTTTAAAAAAAAATATCAAAAATTAATTTTTAACCTACTTTCCAAAATAATAAACTCAAACGACTTCTCTCCAACTCGAGTGATGAGTTCGGTCCACCAACATTTACCAATCCAACGACCCAGCACGCCCACCGTCTTAACCACGGTTAAACATTACACCCCAGAACTTCTTAACCATGGTTAAGTTGTCCCCCCAAACTCCAACCCCGCCCTTTTTAAGCTCCCTCCTCCACCCCGGTATATTCAAAGATCAATTTAGAGAGAGAAAGTCCAATCTAAAGAAACGAGAGAGAAACAGAGGGAGCTCAAAAAAACGATGGCGTTTTACGCGGACGAAGAGGAGGTGTGGAAATGTCCAAAACACCCTTCGAAGCGGCGGAGGAGCGGAATTTGCCCAACCTGCCTCCGTGAACGTCTCACCAATCTCTGCCCCGACTGCGCTAACGTGCGCCCCTGTGCGTGCTGCACTTCGTCTTCTTCCTCCTCTTCTTCTTCATTCTCTTTCTTCTCCTCCTCCTCCTCCGCCGGCGACGCCTCCAGGTCCGCCCGGGTCGGGTCCGTTGGCCGCCTCTCCAACCTCATCGACAGCGAGCCTGCGTTCCGGCGCTCTCGATCGCTTGCGATTCCGTTTCTCCATTCTCGATTCGCCGAAGCTTCGCCGCCGGTTAATCGGAGGAAATCGTCGTTCTGGTCGGTGTTCAGGACGCAGAAGAGCAAGGAATGCGAAGAAGAGAGAGAAGACGGAAAATCGAAGATCGTGATCGAGGCGGAGGAGAATTACGCACACCAGATGATGATGATGAGATCGAGATCTGTAAGCGTTCCGGTAGCGTCGGATTCCGGCGCCGGCAACATGAGATCGTCGTCGGTGAAAAGCAGGGGATTGTATTTTCCTAGCCCGATCAAGTTTTTCCGGCAATCGAAGACGTCGAAAGTCGTTCAGGAACGGTCTCCTTTGTACAGGGGTTGATAAATTTTTGTATTGATCATCAAGAACTCCACAGCTTCACTACTAGATAATCACTTTTTTTTTTTTTTGGTTAAAAAAAATCAACTATTTTGACAAGTTAATATTATATCGATATGATATATATGATATTCCTTCAAAGAAATGACATTGCTTCTCTATGTTTGTAAATTTTCCAATTACCCAATTTTTTCTTGCTTTTTGTTGATATAGATCAATTGTATCTGTATGCATGTTTGCATACTAGATGATAAGATTGATAAATGCTAAAATAGTTACAATATCTATGCATTTTTCATAGGGTGTTAAATATTTTTTTCCTTTACAATTTTCTTATATTATATGTACAAATTAACCCCTCTTTTTTTATCGAGGAAAATCATCACCTATGAGAGTAGTCTTTCACCTTTCACATTATAATATTCTTATACTATATGTACAAATTAACTTTTTTTTTTTTTTTTTTTTTTTTTTTTATCGACGGAAGTTAGTGATTAATTGTTAAATTAGTATATACGAAATTAGTCTTTATTTTTTGCAAAGCACTAACAGTTTGTCTCCTTAATTCACCTCTCCCGAGGAGAGTTGAACTCATTTGGGAACATTTTTTTAATAAATTTTTGATTTTTTAATTAAAATATGATCTAAAAAAAATTAGTATGTTTAGGATGTCTTTTTAATTTTTTATAAAAAGATGTATAAAAAATAGAATGTTTGATTTTTTGGTATAATTTTTTAATTTTATTAGTAATTTTTTTAACATTAAAATTAAAAAATAATATTATCAAAGGAGGCCTTAAAAGAGTCATAGTGGCCATGGTTGGTTCTACGTACAAATTAACCTTATTAGTTGATCCTTTCAACAATCAACGATGCTACTTTATATATAAAAAGAAAAATAAAAATCTAAAAACAAATATTTAAAATTTATGAATAAAATTTATTCTGATTGTAGCTCTTATTAATATACTTTTTGGGTAAAAAGCATTTTTGTTTGATTATGCCAACTACTCCTATGCTACTGCTAGTGTGATTTGATTCATTAACTTTTTTGGATGTGTTTTGAAGAAGCTTATAATTTGTTGGCAACAGTGAGGATGTCCCATTCACCACTAGATCATGTATTATTAGATTTTGATTTGATAAAGAAGGAAGTGACTACTAAAAAATGATCAATAATTTTGTGGTTCTTATTTTTATTAGTGAAATTATTGAATTGCTAATGGGGTCACTTTGCATTATTGGACAGTTTCAAGTAGAGATTGTGATATCTTATTATTGTTTTGATTGCATTGTAAATTGAAAACAATGTTGTGCAACTACATACAGAGGCTTAATTTCATGATTAGAGATTGTGATTTCTTATTATCACTATCAGTAGAGTTTAAAGATCATGTAACATTTAAGATACATATAATACATATGATTTACGGTTTATGTTCATTATTTGTATCATGAAGAATGATTGAATGATCATAAGATAATATGTCGATAATAATAAATCATGTCTCATAGTCAGCATTCATTCTTAATAAATAAAATAAAATATGACAAAAGGGGATGAAACTAAGTTGCGGTCAAATTAATCTACAAAAAGACTACAAAATAATATAGTCTTTTCGAGTGTGTTTGGTAACGTTTACGTTTTCAGTTTATATTTACAAAAATTTTATAAACTGGTTTTTGTTTATTTTTTGTTTATTTTTAGAAAAACATAAACTGCAAATGCGTTTGGTAATTGATAAAATGTTTTTAAAAAAAATTAAAATATAAAAAGAGTGAGAAATAGCAAGTGGTGGCAAAACCAATCATACTTAGACACATGCCAAATCGACATTGAGATTAGTTTATCAATATTGAGATCAGTTGATCTATGAGAGAGAAATTGAACATTTATTTGTTTATTTAATAATTATAAAACTACAAAATCAACCATCGATATTGAGAGATGGGTTGTGTTTTAGTAGAGAGAAATTGACAGTTTTTTAAATTAATTAATTAATTCTGAAAACACACACTAAACCATTGACATTGAGATTGGTTGATATAGGAGAGAAAAAAACAACCGCCTTGTTTGGTTTGTGTTTCTCAAAAATTTTTGAAAAAAATTCTATATAAATAAGTTTTCAAAAGTAATCAAACCAAACAAATTTTTTCAAAAAAATTTCTCAAAACTTGTTTGGTTTACAAGTTTTTCAAATAAATCTCTCTCTCATACACATCAAATCAATCACTTTTTTCAAAACTCTCTCTTAAAATAATTTTACAAAACATCTTTTGAAAAAAATCAAACCAAACAATTTTTCGTACTTTTTATCTCTAAAACTCATCTCCCAAACTCAAACCAAACGTACACATTTTTAATTTATTTAATAATTTTAATGACAAGTAATCAACCATTTATATTGAGATTATTTGATCAAGGAGAGAGATATTTGACATTTTTTCAAGTTATTTAATAATTCTAAAAACGCATTGTAAAGCATGAGATTGGTTAAAATCTACCATAAAGGAATTGATTTTTTTTTATTTTTTTAATATTTTTAAAAATACAAAATTAGTCGTATAAAATAATTATGATCATAAGATTACATTACTCGGACTTTTATGCTTTGTTGGATTAATTTTGGGTCACTAAAATTTGTGATATTTAGGCATAGTTTGGAAAGTTGGTTTTGGTGGGTTAGAGGTTAAAATAGTCACAAAAAACAAAATAGACTATTTTAGTCACAAAAAACGAAACATCAAATCCAACTCATAATTATTACACTCTTCTTTCACAAAAAAATTCAAAAAAGTTCAAAAGTTAAAAAGTCATTCCCAAATTAAACTTTTTAGTCCCAGACAAAAATAACTAAAAAACTAAAAAATCAAAAAGCCGACCCACTTCTCCAGCGGAGGCTTATTGGTAACAAATTGTTAATTGATGATGGAAAATGATGGCTATGAAAATCATCGTGGGCCTGGATTGGTCAGAAGCTTACAGAAAAGAAAGTGATAACTCAATGGCCTTTGTTTTTTTATTTTTGAGGTTGGATATTTTGACTAATTTGCGTATATCAAACTAAATTCTTATAATCTGAATAAATCTTTTGAAATAGAGTTTAAACCCACGGAAGCTTTAAGATATTTTTTTTTTTTGTTTTGGTTACAGAAAAATCCTCCCTACCCTCCCGCAGCACCCCTTACAGAGATCACAAAGGTGTTCTGTTAGCCGTTCCGAACAAGGAGACTACAACCTGGGAACTTGCCCTGACCTCTCAAGACAAGCTCCGCTGGTCCAAGACAGTGCCCCTTACAGAGATCACCAAGGTGTCTTATTAGCCGTTCCGAGTGAGGAGACTATAACCTGGGAACTTGTCCCGACCTCCCAAGACATTAGGATTCGCACAGTGAGGGAGTATTGAACCCACACTAAGTGCTGACTAGACAACTTGAGATCTAACCTCCTAATCAACAATGCTTCGTCTAGAAAATTGATCCAAAAAGAGAATTAAACTTGTGACTTTAGAATTTAAATCCTAAGACCTTACCACAACGCCACAACACTTACGTTAGCTTTAAGAATTTTACTAACAAAAGGAATCGAATTTGAAATTTTAAAGAGGACAAACCCCCCAAATCCAGATCTCTTACATTAGTCCAGACCCTTGAAGTTCTCTCTCCTCTTTGATGTGCCCACCGCTCGTGCATGGTTTTCTCTTGTGAAGTAAGAAGTGATGACCTCATCACCATGGTCCATGGATATTATTAACCGGTTATTTGGACTGTCTTAAATAAATATATTTTTTTATTTTTTTAAACTAAAAAATTGAGAAAAAAATATAGATGTTTGGATTAATTTTTTGACTTTTTATGAAAAAATGTGTAATAAAAAATTGTAAAAATTAATTTGTAGGGAAAAATTAAGATTGAGAGTTGTACAGCCGTAATTGTTGACTTTTGGTGAATAGTATTAACTTTTTAACTTTTCGAGTAACTTTTTGACTTTTTTGTAATATGCCAAACTTGGCCTAAATCTAGATAAACCTTTTTCAAAATTTATCTATAAAAAATATCTCTCCTTTTAGTTTAGTTAAAAAAAAAGAGAGACTTATTTATAAGTCATTTTTCAGACACTTATGCTATGTTAAGTCCTGTATAATTTCTTATAAGAGTCTCAAGTCCCATTTAAATTGGAATGCATTCTACAAGATCCTATGAGTTGTAAATAAATAGTATTAAGTTCGCGAAACGTAACGTGACACGTTACGTTACGTTTATGTAGGTGTCACGATACGTTACGTTTATGTAGGTGTCACGTCACATTACGTTTATGTAGGTGTCACGTCACGTTACGCTTATGTAGGTGGCGCGTTACGTTTCGCAAACTTAATCTATAGTAACATTCAATTTGCTATGTAGGAAATTGAATGTCACCATAGAAAGTAACATTTTCATATTCAATTAAAAAAATAAAAAACCTAATAAATTTGCGAAACGTGATAACATTCAATTTGCTATGTAGGAAATTGAATGTTACCATAGAAAGTAACATTTTCACATTCAATTAAAAAAATTAAAAACCTAGGAAGTTTGCAAAACATAACGTGACACGTTACGTTATGTTTATGTACGTGTCACGTCACGTTATGTTTATGTAGGTTTCACGTCACGTTACGTTTAAGTAACATTTTCACATTCAATTAAAAAAATCAAAAACCTAGTAAGTTTGCGAAACATGGTAACATTTTCACATTCAATTAAAAAAATCAAAAACCTAGTAAGTTTGCGAAACATTGTAACATTTTCACATTCAATTAAAAAAATCAAAAACCTAGCAAGTTTGCGAAATGTAACGTGACACGTTACGTTACGTTTATGTAGGTGTCAAATGTGTCAACAAATTTCACACAGGACTTATGAGAACATAAATTTTTTTGTAGGACTATATGTAGTATAAGTCTCCCTAATAAGACTTATAAACAATTTTCCCTAATAATAAAAAAAAACTAAAAAACCTAGTTTGGTATAAATAAATAAAAAATTATTTTCATATGTTATTTTTTGGGGGGACAAAAATAATTTTTGAAAAGTTCAAATATTTTATTGATATTTATTTTTATCATTTTTTTTAAATAGGAAAAAAAATTGAAAACTCAATCAAACAGTGTTTCTATTGATAAATTTTAACTCTTGTACGATAATAAAATTCAAAGTTCAAAGTAATTACAAATACAAATAAAAAAAAATTAATTAAATTATGAGGCCAAATATGTACGATATTAAAAAAAATTTCATAAG